ATGACATGTATTAATAATGTTTTAATTAAAGATTCTGAACTTTAATTAAATTCATTATGAACAATTACTTTTGATTATTATCCTTAAACATTATCCTCTCGTATACAATACTTATATACCATGTTTAAGGTTACATAAATAATCAAGGAATTTTATTTGATATTCATAAAATATTCATAAATATATGCACATAAAATGATGAATAAACTCTTTTATTAAATAAATAATAAATATCCTTTTACATCTCATGCTTCTAGGACACTATTCCTAACAAAGGCCCCGTTCACTTCACCGATTCGAGTTTAGAATTCGAGTTTTGCTACAGTAAAAAGCTCTCAGAAACAGTCACATCTAACTTTTTTACTACAGTGAAAAGCTCTCACATAACATCACATCTTAACTCGAATTAAAAACTCGAATCAGCGAATTAAACAGGCCCTAATATATGGCATGAGTGTCAACGGGGTGTGATTGATGTGTTATTGTGGATATATCTCCACCACTAACCGTTTTCTGCGTTGCATAAATTCGTGCAAAATTTATTTTTTGTAGAAGTTTTCGTCCCAAAATTATCACGTTACTTCTTCAAAGAATCCCTTGATATGATGTAAACTTAAAATGGATCTTGTTCTATGTTGATCAGAAATTTCTCTATAAATAATACAAATCAGAGCTTGAAGAAGGGTGTGTTGCGCGTGAGAGAAAGGATTTTATAATTTGAGTTTTAAATAAGATGACTCTTTCATTTTTTTTTCTTTTTCATATTAAAAAAATAATAAAAATGATAATTGTTGAATTTTAATCATCGAGTTATTTTCTACAGGACTTTCCCTCGCCGCAATAGAGTTTAACCCCTTAAAAAGTTTATCAAAATCATTTTTGTTTTGCAAACTTTTCTTACCAAAATATTGATAATTGAAAAGAAAAATAAGATTCACTCGTTCAAATAAATAAACAAATAAAATTTCCTGATAATAAAATAAAAAAGAAAACTGCTTTCACAAAACTTGTATTAATACAGCTTGAAAAACAGTCATAATATAACAGATTGGTCAATTATCATTACATATATAATGATATCAATTGTTGTGTGCTGCGAAGTAGAATTTTATTAAGAACAATTTATTGAACTGTAAAACATTAAAAAAACCCTGAAAAAATCCATTATAAAAACTTTTATTGATAACCCTCTAAAAAAAATACTACATTGAAGAAACCTAGAATAATTATAATAAAATTAATCGGTCCCTCAAAATAATAATAAAATTAATTGGTACATTAGCATTCAAATTAAAATTTGAACCATTCTTTTTCCAAGTATAAAATACAAAAAGTTTACTCCTCAGTCAAATTAAATTTAAATTACCACCTTTCTAACCAAAAAAATAATAATACCACCATTTTTCCCAATAATTAAATTAATTCCTACCGGTTTGCCATACATCTTATCACCAAACATTAGTACTTACTAGTTATAAATGCAAGCTAAGCACGCGTAACTTATTTAAATTAACAATTATACAAACGGTCGAAAAAAAAAAAAGAGGAAGAACAAATAAATAATACAAGAAATAAAGGCAAAAGTTTTTAAAAAAAAAAGGAAAATAGAAAAAAAAAACATAAGAAAAAAACTTATGTGAAATGTTTCACAACTGAATTATGACAATCATAGGTAAAAAAAATGTTTATATAGGGACACATTTAAAATTAAATTAATTAGTAAGGTAATTAGAAAAAAAATAATATTGTAAATAATCGTAAGAAAAAGATTTAAAAGAGATATATTTAAAAATACATAAAAACTAAAGGTTAATTGATTTAATAAAAAAATACAAGGGAGGAAAAAGAAGAAAATAATACGAAAAATTAAGGCGCGTTTGGAACTCGTTCCAAAATGATTTTGTTTTTTGTATGAAAATAGAAATGAAAACGTTTTCATTTTCAGGCAGAAATCATTTCTGAAAATGCGTTTAGTAGTTTTTTTCAGAAATTATTTTCAGTTTAAAAAAACTGAAACTGCATTTGGTAGTGTCAACAAATCAGCAAATCAGGACAAAGATCAGCAAAAAAAACACCCAGATCATTAGCAAATACCGGCAAAACTCAAAACAATCTTCACCAAATCAGAACAAATACCAACATAAACTCTCAAAAATACCCGAGAACAGGCAAATTAGAACCAAATACCAGGGGAAAAAACACCCAGATCATCATGCAATACCGGCAATGTTCTTGTTCCAACCTATCGTTTAATGATAGTGACCCATGTGCGAAAAAAGTTAAAAAAATATTGATCTAGATTCACCCAAAATATTCTTGTGATCTGATTCATCTAGATTGAGAAAGAAAAAGGAAGAAACTCATATAAACAAACCC